GCTGTTTAGAGTGCAGAGAAATGCATTTGAAGTTTCAGATACTAACATTAGAAAGTTTGATCATGAATTTTAATCTATTTTATGGCATTGTGGGGGAAAAATCTTTTTTAAGATGAAACAGGTGAAAATCTATGTGACTTGTGGCTGAATTCATCTGTTTCTAAAATGTGTGTGTGAAAAATAAACATGTAGTGGCTTCATGCAAGCTGAGTTTTTGTCATTAGTGGAAATTCAAATAGTGGAGGCGTGGAGTGTTTCACTTGTCTTGCGTATGTTTGAAAGGGAGTGAAGAGGTAAATGGCAATCATTTAGCTCATTGTGCTGCTGATGACTGTACCTGCTCTCTGTATAAATAACAGTAAACTTTGCATATTCTATGCCTTGGATTCAAATTAGCAGAGCTGATTCATTTGGGTTTAGTTGAGTTTTGCAATGTAAACCTGTAGTTAAGGGACTTTTACCCAGGGAGGCTGTAGTGTGCAGCAGCAGGACAGGAAGTGGCTGCTGGCCACTCTACTTTTTGCTTTATGTTCAGAAAACCCTTCTCTTCTTCTTCCCCTTAATTTTGACAGCTTTCTCAAATCAAAGACTCCAGGTCCCATCATTCAGCTTCTGACACACCCCAGAGCATAAGGCTGCTCTTGCCTTCGCCCACTGCAATTAAAATCCTTAGAGATCCCTCAGCAGGACCTTGTATTTGTGCTGGCATCTCTCTCCAGGAAGGTCTTTTGACCATGTACCCTTTGGGTAGTGCTTGATGAAGGTGTCATTTCCTAGTGCCACATCTGCTAAAGAAAGATGAGAAGAGGCAGGACCTTAGACCAAGCTCCCATGTTTCTTCTAGAGGTAAAGTTGTCCATGATATTTATCCCAAACATTACTATCTTTCTCAATTTGACGTAGGAGATGGAAGTGTTACAATTTTAATCAGACTGCATATGATCAAGGTTGAAGATTCTCTTTAGTCCTTGGGTGTTTGGCATGTTCCCCTTTCTTTCTGCGCATGGTAGGAAAACCCCTCTCTGTCTGTTGAAAGAGAACGGAAAATCCTAAATGACTGTCAGGTCTCCAAACCTCAGTTCCTCCTAAGTACCAGGTTTGAGGTTAGGACTTCAAAGATAAAGACAGATGGGTTGTGAGTGTGTATATGGGCCATTTATCCTATAGAAACCCTAATTACTGACAAATATAAACATTCTTTCTGAGCTTTCTAAAGCCAATATATTTCATATCTAAAGAAATTTTGGCTCCAGTCTGATTTATACATCTCACATCAGGCAGAAATCACAGATGAATCTGTGGTGTGCACTTGCAGGGTGAAGAGGCTCTGTTTCTCTGCATTTACATGAGCAAAGAGCAATATCTGTCATCTGGTGGAGGTCTTGCTAGGAAAACCTGACCAATGTGCAGAACATTATTCTTCCTTTAGTGCTTATACACAACTCCCATTAAAAGTTATCTTTATTAAATTCTCTTCTAATGAGAAATTAGAACTGAGCTAAGGCATGTAAACGCTGGGGGCGGGGAAATGGGGGGGCTGTGTGGTTACAGAAATAGCTGAGGAACAAAACTACTCTGGAATGAAAATGAAGCGAGAATAATACCTTGCTCATTAGAGTTGAGCACGATGCATGGGCGCGATCCGCCTTGAGGCAGAGGGAAATATCTCACAGCTAACAAAGTGTTTTGAAGACCTAAGGATTGTTTTAAAGGACTTAAGGATAATGAGACTGTAAAAATATTAATTTATTTTAAGAATTAAGAAAAATGAAATACATTAACAGAGTCCCTTCATGTGAAAATAGTTTTCAGAGTATAAAACTGTGGAGGATTTGCTGCTATGTTGGTATGGGCATTTCAGATTATCCTTACTTGGTTGTTAATGATGTTTAAAATAAATACTTTGAATCTCCTAACACAGTGAAGAACTGGTATTTTTGCTTTATATGGAGGGGGGAAAATGAAAAGCCTGTCCTTGAATCAGCTACAGTGGGGATATGGCTATAGGGGCTAGAATACTGGTTTTGTGCATCTGCTGAGGTGTGGGCAGCATGTGAACTTGCTTCAAGAATGATGTTTTTCAGAAGGAAGGTACCTGAGGTTGACTCCTGATTAAAGCAAGCAGTGACTACATCCAAATCATGGGAAAAAAGCTACTATCCAGCCTCAGACAGAGGGGGCTGACCCATCAATCTCACGCCTTTTTTCCCCACAGCTGACTTGAGGTTTTGTGGTATATTAGAGGAAATCTGTTCCTTTCGATGGCCTAGCAGAGGGTGACACAGTTGTCTGGTTTTCCTGCCTACAGTCATCCTGAGGGGTATACCTCAGGGGCTTTCATTGCATTACCATAGGAATGTCATTTGTTACTGTGGTTATTGGGAGTGTCAGGCCTCTCTTCACAGCAGTAATTAAATCCTATGATCCCACAGAGGTAGGAGAAGGATATTATTAAAAAGAAGGGCTGGGGAATTGTACAGGTTCACAATTGCACCACAGGTCAGCAGCCGCTCTCCTCCTGGCTGCCCACACAACAGTTTCTGTTTAGCACCTCGTGCCTTTTCTCCTCTCGGGAGCTTCTGTTGTCCTAGCGATGAACCTGCTTTTTGTCAGAAAAAATATCACAAGGGAAGTCGCAAGGACCCTTTCTTGTGCTGTGCAAAGCCCTGAAAAGGATCCTATGGTGCTCCCTGCTCAGCCAGTGTGTCCCACAGTCCCAGTGTCTGTGCTATCACACGCTGCCACCTGCTTCTCCATTTGGTTGCACTGTGCCCAAGGGAGCAGCCATGGAAAATCTTGAGGGGTAAAAGCATTTTTTATCAGTGTGTGAGTCAACTCCATTGTCAGAGTGTGCACCTTGTGTGTCCTCAGCAATGAAGCTGGTTGATGCAGAGCTAACTGTGAGCGTCAGAGTAACAAAAGCAAGAGCTGAAAAGGGCTGCTTTTCTTTCTGAGATGCTTCATAGAATCATAGAATGTCTGTTTTGGAAGGGACCTTAAAGATCATCCAGTTCCAACTCCCTGCCACAGACAGGGACACCTTCCACTAGACCTGGTTGCTCAGAGCCCCTGTGTCCAACCTGGCCTTAAACACTGCCAGGGATGAGGCAGCCACAGCTTCTCTGGGCAACCTGTGCCAGTGCCTCACCATCCTCACAGTGGAGAACTTCCTAACATCTAAATCTAAATGCCCCCTTTGTCAGTTCAAGTCCATTCCCTGCTTTCTTGTTGGCCCCTTCAGGCACTGGCAGCTGCCTTGAGCCCTCTCTCCAGGCTGAACAAGCCCAACTCTTTCAGCCTGTCTCAGAGGTGCTCCAGTCCTTGGGGCATCTTTGTAGCTCTCTTCTGGACTTGCTCCAACAGCCCCATTTCCTTAATTTGGGGGCCCCACAGTGGGTTGCTCTGGATTTATCCTCTGAATAAATACTGTAGTGTTTTTTCCATACTGATAAGAATAGCAAGGTGTAAGCAATAGTGTGGCTGTGAGCATATGGCGATTTCTCAGCATTCTGCACGGTAACAGCAGCCCTGCAGTTCCTGCTCAGTGTCCCAGTAGGCGCTTGGAGTCTGAGCAGAGGTGCCGGTCTGGAAGATTTTTCATAGTTTTACAGCTTGCATTGGTTCCCTGAGCACAGAGGGCTGAGCTGGCAAGTGGAAGAAACATGCTTCATGCAAAACCTTCCCCCAGCCGGCGTGGGGCTCTGGTCCTTGATTACCGGCTGCCTAGGCTGTCAGCATCTTGTGCTCATGGCAGCTCTGCATGGGAGAAGGATTTTTTGGAAGGGACATTGTTTTTCCCATGGGATGGAGAGTGTTTTGTCAAGATTCATTTTAAATGAATGTGCAATTGCATCAGCTGGGATTTTGCTGGGTATGAACTTACCTGAGGCAGCTGGGGCAGGGTGAGATCAGAACAAACGTGTTGGTCTATATGTTTTAGTAAATGTGCAAGGGGAACATGATTCCCTTCTGGCAACATTTTATACAGAAAGTTCAGACTCAGTACTCACTGATGGCTCAAAAAACCAGCACACACAATAAGGCTTGTTAGAGGGTTGTTTTTTCCCCAGTTAGCTCCAAATAATGGGTCTTTCAGAAACCATTCTGTTTCATAGTTTCAATTTTTTCCCATTCACAGTAAACGCATATATCTTCAAGTGCCTTTTTGAACAGGAGCACTCTCTGTGTAGCAGTATATAGAAAAAGAATTTATAAACTCTCACTCTGTAAGAATTTATTGGTATGACGTGATAATTTGCTTACTGCTGGGAATATGGGGCTGTCTGACTCATGAGATGTTTCTGTAAAGGAAAGCTGCCACTAAGTCATCCAAAAGCATTTTATGTACAAAATTGAATAGAACAAAGCCTTTAGTTTAGCAACAGTTAGACATTTATCCATGCAAACGATGCAAGTTCCGCACAAAAAGAGGAATTGCACAGTACTTGCACAGCTGATCCCAACCCAGTAATCTCCTTGAAGAGCTCACTGGGTGAGGAAACACAGCATCCGTTACAGACTCTGTGAGTTTAGTGGTGTGATTTTATTAATTGTAGTATCTTAGGTAAATACTAGGTTTTGTAAGTATTAGGTTTCTAATTATTACTAGGTTTCTTAAGTATT